AACTGGGCCCCCATGAGCCAATATTGAAAATGAAGGTGGGGGCCAGAAAATAGACTTCATGGTTGACACTGGGGCCGAACACTCTGTGGTGACACACAAGGTAGCACCTCTGTCAGGTCAAGAAGTCACTATCACAGGAGCCACTGGGATGCAAACCTGGAGGCCATTTTGTGATCCCTGACAATGCAGCTGGTGGGGGGGGGGGGTCACCAAGTAGTTCATGAATTCCTGTATCTACTCCACTGCCCAGTCTCACTGTTAGGCAGAGACCTCCTAGCCAAGTTGGGCACAGAAATAGCCTTCACTTCAGATGGACAGACACAGTTGCGCCTAAATGAAAAGGCCCAACCCATGATTTTGTCCCCGATGATACCACAGGAAGAAAAATGGAGGTTATATACTTCTCCTCCCAATGAGCCAATCATGGCCACCAAGGTAGAGGCTGAACTCCCTTCAGTTTGGGCAGAAGAGAACACCTGGTCTGGCAAATTCTGTCAGATATGGATCCCAGGGTTCTCAGAGTTGGCCTCTATATGAGGCACTAAAGGAGGAAGAAAGGGCACCCCTTTTCTGGGGCCCTAATCAAGAAAAGGTGTTTGCAACCATAGACATGAAACTCACAAAGGCACCGGCCTTGGGACATCCAGATGTATCACAAGATTTCAACCTGTTCATGCATGAAAACAATGGGGTGGCTCTGAGGGTTCTAACCCAGGAATTTGAATCTTGGAAGAGACCAGTGGCATACCTTTCAAAACAGACTGACTCAGCTATGGAAGATGGCCACCCTGTTTGAGAGCCCTGGCAGCCACCACACTTTTAATCAAAGAAGCAGACAAACCCACATTGGGGCAAAACCTAAACATTAAGGTTCCCCATTCAGTTATTACGACCAACACGGACACTGACTCACTCTATGCCTTCACCACTCTACATGTACATGGGGCTCTATACAAGGAGAGAGGACTTTTGACCACAGGAAGAAGAGAAATAAAAAAAAATTGGAAAGAAATCCTAAAACTATTAAGGGCAATCTGGGAACCGAGGGAAGTAGCAGTCATCCACTGCAAGGGACACCAAAGAGGAAAGGACTCAGTGTCAGAAGGTAACTGACAGGCAGATGCCTCAGCTAAACAAACAGCAGGGAAACAAACATGTCAAAAATTATGCTAGTCCCAGAACTGCCAACTTCCCCAAGGTACACAATCCAAGAAACAAAATGAGCACAACAGGAAAAAGGAAGTGAGACAAAAGAAGGATGGTGGTTAATTCCAGATCAAAGAATCTATATACTAGAGCAGCCAGCCCACCAAATAGCTCTCCAACAGCATGAGCTCACGCACCTAGGAAAAACCATCCTTGAAACCTTACTACTATGTAATTGTTTGGCTCTTATCTTTCTGTGCCTCCACGTCTCAACACTGCCTCTTCAGCACTCAAAATAATGGCAAACAAGCCCCTACTGGGCCCATGGGAACCCAAAACTGTGGTCAGGTACCCTTCAAAGATATGGAGGTAGATTGTACTGAAATAAGACCCAGTGGAGGATACAAATTTCTTCTGGTATTCATCTGCACATTTTCAGGTTGGGCTGAGGTCTATGTCACATGCTGAAGAGGCAAGACAAGTAACCAAGGCTCTGCTAAGGGATGTTGTCCCCAGGTATGGAATGCCATTAAGCATAGGCTTAGACAATGGCCCGGCTTTCATGGCCAAGGTGGTGCAACAAGTAGCCAAAACCCTAGGTATTCAATGGAACTTACGCACATCCTACCAGCCCCAGAGTTCAGGGAAAGTGGGCCGTATGAACCAGACCCTAAATCAGCCATCACAAAACTATGTCAGGAAACTAACTTGCTCTGGTCAGATATACTACCCCCTAGCTCTTCGAGTATGTTGTATACCCTGGACAAAAATAGAATTCACCCCATTCGAGATCCTATATGGAAGGCCCCCTTCACTCGTCAAATTCAAGGAGGACCTGACAGAGCTAGGGAATTTAGAAATACAAAAACAATTACAAGGATTAGGGAAAACTATATTTTAGATACATAGATGGGTGACAGACAGGGTTACCCATTTCCCTAGGAATAACTGTACACCCTCACATATACACGGACTTACTCTATGCCTTCGCCACTCTACATGTACTTCGGGCTCTATACAAGGAGAGAGGACTTTTGACTGCAGGAGGAAGAGAAATAAAAAATTGGGAAATAAAAACCTGGGGATCAGGTTTGGATAAAAGATTGGAAAAGGAAACCACTCAAACCTGCCTGGAATGGACTCTATTTAGTTGTGCTAACCATGCCTACAGCCCTCAAGGTTGCAGGACTAACTGCTTGGATCCACCATTCTCAACTAAAGGCAGCCCATCTGTCACCTGTCAATGACTTGGAATGGAAAGTAATTGCCAACCAGAATAATCCTCTATAGATCACTCTTAAGAAGACCGCGGATGATAAGCAGCCCACAGCCAACACCTGAGAACTCTCTGTAACCAGAAGCTTGAGGAAATCGCCAAGAGACTTAAATGAACTACAACAAATCATTCTCTCTCCAATTTCATTGTGATTCCCTACCTATTTTTCTTTCCATACTGGTTTTTATACTCTTTGCTGTAGGGCTTACCCAAGTTACTCCCACAGATTGGCACCTCAGTCACAAACTCTTGTTAGCCTTCCTCTACTTACTAGTGTCAGGATACCTTATTCTCCTTAGGCGTATATGATCTGAGTTGTGGCCGACGTCCTTCTCTGTACGTTTGTTCTCTGCCTTTATAACTGTTTCCTACCCCGGAGATGGAATCATCCCCACCGATGTTGAATCAGCCTTGTCTCCTATCCCCGATGTGCATATTCCTGTTCCTAACATGCTCAAAAAGGATTTTCTCTTCTTACTGACTGTGTACTTGCTCCACTTACCACCTCCCCTCTTGGAACTTTCCTTCCTGACTGGAGGGATGTGTCAAAGCATCTTCTGCTGTCTTTTGCCTCTGTGAGGGACAGCCTTATGTTACAGGCTCACACTGTTCTGAGTGTTATCCTGCTTCCCTTCCCTGGCTCCTCTGGGCCTAAAGGATGAGATAATACTACCACCACACCCCTGGGCCACCGTTTACCCCCACATGCCAGGCAGATGTTATGATGTCAGGAGGATTACTCCCTGTAACAGGAACAGGAGAACTTACTGGACGGGAAAATTAAACATGAGACACTATTGGGGGCTGCCTGATCCATCCTGCCCTGATGTTCCCCATGCCTGCTGGGTCACCTCTGACCCACCATATTGGCCTCTGCCTGCACTTGGATCAGGCAGACCACTTGCTTTAGATCCCAATCTGGACCAGATGTTGAGCACTACTCATTACCTCTTCAATGATACCAATCCCAGCCTGGCCAGAGCCTGCTGGCTCTGCTTGCCCACAGGACCCCCTCTTTATACAGCTACTTTGAGAACACAGGCAACTATAAATGTTACCCAGACCCCCACATGGTGAGACCTGTACTAACTGGAGTTGAACTGTCCTAACAACTCCCAGGTGCCTGAGAAACAAAATGAGAATGGAACCAGTTGGCAATCTGACCATCAGCCAATGCAACCAGACTCTTGACAGTCAAGAACTCAGGCATCTTCCAACAACCCAACCCTGATGTTGTCCCCTCCCAGGGCTTTTCTTTGTATGTAGGATAGATGCCTACCTGATTCTACCAGATGATTGGACAGGCATCTCTACCCTGGCCTTCCTCACTCTTCAGATAAATATTTTCCCCAACAATTAGTCTCTTATAGTACCCTTGGCAACATATACTCAATCAAAAAGAGCCATTCAAGTCATACCCCTGCTGATTGCTTTTATTGAGCAACTGCTACATGGCAGACACAGAGAGAATACAGTGGTGAAGAAAATACACATGACCTGTGTCCTCATGAAACTTACAATTAGTGGGGGTAACAGATGTTAGCCAAGTAATCCCACAAATGATTGCTCAGCCAGGACCTGAATTTGCTGAGAAACATAGGATTTGAATCTCTACTTTGCGGGGTGGGGGTGGGGGTATGAATTATATGCTTTTGTAAGAAAGGAAGAAGCGTCTCTGTTACTTGTAGAAATGTTCAAAGGTTAAAAGATTTTCTTTGTCTTAGAAAAATTGTCATTTGGTGCAGTTGCATACCAACTGACTTCTCCAGACAAACAGTGGAAATGTCACAAGAGAAGCCCAGGAAATACCCAAGCCTTGGGGAGAGGCAGCTTGTGAAAGCCACCAAACATGAAAAAACCAGTGGGCTGGCAGAATAGTATGGCTGAAAATACAGCCTGGGAGGGAATGTTTGGACGCTAACTCTGAGAAAGGAAGTTGGTTGGGGATTTATGAGGGTCCGACACCCAGTGTCAAGAAATTTGAAGTCTATTATTTGGGAAATAAAGAGGTAATGAAGGCTTTTTAAGCAGAGAAAAAGTAAAAGAAGTCAATATAACGAATGGGATGTGCTGATTTGTAAAAAACATATCTTGATGAAAATAAAAGTGATAATATTTTATCAAGTGATAATACCCGAGTCATATAAAGGAATCAAGGAAGTCAAATACCTGGTCATAAATTTCAAGTTAACATTATATTTGTAACCAGGATGACCCCAGGTCATGGGTATGAAGGAACAACAGTTACTGTTACTACCCACATCTCAGGGGCTCAAATCCTCTCCATGGACTGTGGGGATCCCCTTCCCTGGGCTCCAGCACCCACATCATATATGTTAGCTTCTGGGGCTCCCAGTGCTGAAGCTTATTGCAACACTGTCCACTTGCGTCCAGGGAGGTCGCTGCTGGTGCCTCCTAGACCCTGGTGTTCAAGGGAGCTGCAGATCAGTGGCCCAAAGCCAAGAAAATGGGAGGAGAGCTGTGCAATATGAAGAGAAACACCTGGGCCTGGGCCACCCCCTCTGTGTTCCCAAAACCTCTGACTCACGCAGCGTTTGCCCCCTATGTCCTCCTCCAGAGAAGAATATGGCAGATGTACCAGTCAGTGACCTAGGAAATTTCCCTGTACAAGAAGTCAACATGTCCTGGGGACGGCAGAAGCGAACCTTCTATCTTCACCCCCACACTACTCCCCTGACCCCGCAGTGGGTGTTTCTTTCAGGAGGTGTGCTCTGGTCATCTGTCTTTTTTGTCCAGCATCTTTCTCTATTTCTTGGATTTTTTTTCTCATGTTTTGTGAGTCTTGCTTTTCCATCTATCTTTGCTGAGTTGCTTTAAAATGCAGTTGCAAAGCAGGGATGCCCTGAGCTGGTTTCCTACATTTTGTGTTATCACTTCCTGGGTAACTGGTATAGCTGTGATATTTACTTTCTGTTGTGCCTTTCAAACAATACTCATTTCTTGTTTGTGCCTTACAGACTGTCGTTGTTGTTAACTGGATCTCTCCCCACCTATTGCACCCCAGGAAAATGCTAGTTCCTCTTCACTGTTGTGTTTCTTTGTAAGCAGCTCATCTTACTTCCCTCATGTAAGATCCCTTTCCTCCCTCCCTTCTTCCCTTCCCTTCCCTTACTCTTTCCTCCTTTCTTTCTCTTTTCTTTTCTTTCTCTTTCTTTCTTTCTTTCTTTCTTTCTTTCTTTCTTTCTTTCTTTCTTTCTTTCTTTCTTTCTTTCTTTCTTCCTTCCTTCCTTCCTTCCTTNTTCTTTCTTTCTTCCTTCCTTCCTTCCTTCCTTCCTTCCTTCCTTCCTTCCTTCCTTCCTTCCTTCCTTTCTTTCTTTCTTTCTTTCTTTCTTTCTGTTTTTCTCTTTCTCTCTCTCTCTCTCTTCTTTCTCTCACTCTCTTTATTTTTTCTCTCATTCTTTTGCTTTGCTGTTTCTTTCCTTTAAAACCTCCATCCTTAAAAGATGTTGGAGCTTTCTCTCTTTTTTTTGTATATATGGGTCTATTTCTCTAGAAACATTTTTCTCCTGCTGAAATGTCTCTGCTTCTTCTCTCTTCCTAGCTGCACATAGAATTTACAAAACACATTCCATTTATATTGTTTATTTTAAATGAGCTTTCATTGGACTCTGATCAGTCTGAACTATTTACAACTCTTCCACTGTTCGTCCTTTCTTAAGCCCTGTGAGACCCATCCCGATGTAGAGCAGATGTAGGATTCCAGGAGTAGCATCGGTCTCTGGTCCTGTGAGACCTACTGAAGCCCAGGGTTCCCTGAGGGCTGGAAGGCTCCCCACTGAACTGCCAGAGTCAGGGCTGTGCCAGGTGTGTAGTTGTGAGAGGAGGCACCTGGTCACCACCAGAGGGCTCTAACTGCCTTTCCCTCCTCTTCCCAGTGATTTATGACAACTTCCATTAAAAGCCATTGATGAAGAAGAGACAAAGGAAATAATTCACTTCCAAGTACATGATGAGCTAGGTACTTGTGACTCAATAGAGACTTGTTCTCTCATCTGCTGAGGGGAAAGGCGAGCAGAGATCAGGGGACCAAGATTCTGGGTGGCTACTGCCCTGTGGGGAGGGCCACAGGAGGAGTCAGAGCACTGATGGTCATATGGGATCCTAAGTAACCCACCAGGTGTGGAATCCAAAAATGTTGCCAGGCAGATATGACCTCTCAGAAGATGGAACAGGAACCCACAAGAGCAGATCTTACTGTGACCATGAGGCAGAATTAAGGGGAGGAGCTGACAGTGGGAAGCAGTAAGGTTTGCCACCAGGTAACAGGTCCAAAGAGAAAGGCAAGAAGGAACTGCTGTAAATGTGTCTGCTAATAAAAGAAAAGAGGGAGAGAGAGGGTCATAATAATGTGCAGAAAAGAACATGGAAGGAGCGGTACAATGTAGAAAAAAGAGGAAAATGGAAAATAGTATAAAAGGAAAAAGGGAATTAATGGCATTAATCACTTTAACAGTGACAACAGTAGTGATACAGTCTTTCCTCAGAACGCTATGCATAAGGTCAGCCCTTCCTGTAAGGCAACATAGCGCTCACATATGAACTATGTAATTAAAATTTTTTAAAAATACTTGTTTATTTTTGAGAGAGAGAGAATGAGATAATGGGGGTGGGAGGAGGTGCAGGAAGCAGAGAGAGAAGACAACAAAGGATCCGAAGTAGGCTCTGCACTGACAAAAGAGAGACTGATGCAGAGCTTGAACTCACAAACCATGAGATCATGACCTGAACCAAAGTCAGGCACTTAACCAATTGAACCACTGGCCATATGGGGTGACGAGTAGCCACAGTGTCCAGCTTTTCATCATCCTTTTGTTCATATTCTTACTAATAATTAACCATTAAATTATAACATGTATACCATTAACACTGAAAATTATGATTTCTTGCTAAGTTACTACAACTCAGTTTTCCCTTTACAAGTACTCATAACAACCCTTTCATAAAGGTTTTGTTATTCCCTTTTTCCAGAAGAAACTGAGGCTTGAGGATAGTTAGTGATTTGTGCAAGGTCACCTGACTGGTCTAGGACTCAAACCCTCCCCTACATGCCAGCGAAGGGCTAACATGCTGAGGCCTCGCTGACGGGCTTCACATCTGGCTCTACCTCTTGTTTATTTGTGCAAGTTCCTTAATTTCTGTGTTCCAATGTATAAATTGAAGCTATAAAGCTGTATGTCTATAAATCTCTTATAAAATAAGGCTGTTGGAGAATTTAATGATTTAATTGACACGAAGCACTTATAATAATTTGTGGCACAAAACAGTTGTTATATGCTTACTACTTTTATTATAATGTGTTTATGACTCCAACAACAAGACATTTAACAGTGCTCCAAACTTGAAGACTTCTCCTCCGACTGAAGAGAAAGTTATTTCTCAGACTAGAGTAGCAGTGAGTGAAATAGTGTTTAAGGCCAAGAAAAGATCTCTATCCCCTAGTCAAATGTCTACAATAAATTTATTTATTTGTTAAATGTTGATTTTTTCCCCTAGCAAATGACCAATATAAGAAAAACCACAGACTATAACCAGACTCATAGAATGCCATTAATAGATATCTTTTCATTTGGATTTATAAATGAATATATATTTTTTCAATGTATGAATGCATTTATATAAAATTTGGATCTATTTTAATAATCACAGTTGTTGCAGACTATGAGTCTGGAGTTCTCTCTTGTCCATCAAGAGACCAGATGCAGAATTGAATACAAGGTAGGCTAATGTCTGGAAGGAGACAAGACCCCTGAGCAGGGGTTTTTGTCTACGTATTTATTGAGCTCACAAGTTATTACCCACGTGGTTAACATGAAGAAAACAAGATCTTACACACGTGAACATGGAGAAAACAATCAGTAATCATTAACTTGTGTGTGAAAGAAGCAAAGGGTCTGAAGGGCAAGTGGAGTTTGTGATCAAAGTACAATAGTCAGATGAAAAGTACTCATGATCCCATTACAATATCTCGCTAGCTAACCTCAGGTGTGTTTGCCCTATGGCAGCAGCTTTCTGCCCTAAGTTTTTTTCTAACCTGTTTATGTCAGTAGAACCTATTTCCCCACATAATAGTTATTCTTTTGAATGAAGTAAAATTGCTAAAAGCCTAAAAAGTACAAAGCACATCAAAAATAAGTCCAGAGATTCATCTACTAAGGGTAGTAGGAATGAAAATGGGATGGTAGAAGGGTCAGTGATAACTACTAGGAAAGAGTGAAAAAGGTTTATTATGGAGAGGAGGGAAACAAATTCTTCAACATTCCTGATGTCATCTTGGCAACACCTTGCTTGCAGCTGGAATCCCAGAGCAGCTCAGTGATGGACAACAGATGAATATAATGGAAGGGGATTCATTTCATGATCCAGATGACGCCATAAGAACTGAGGAAATGAAAAATAAATGTGCCCAAGAATCTGAACAAACAGGTAAGGTTGGCTGACAGTCCAATATTTGCCCAAATGTCTGACTCTGAACAACTGTGAACTGTGGCACATACAGGGAGGGGTACAGGTGGTGTCATGTGTTCATAGTTTAGAAAGAAGGCTCCAAGGCGCCATGAGTGGGGCAGAGACATAGGCCAGAGCCTGAGGCAAGAAGACATTTATTTACCGAGAAAGGATGTCTGTTTCCTGTGGAAAAGCAAAGAAAGAAAAGACCGCAGAGAGACGGGGAGGGTAGGATGCTGGAATAGCATAGGCAGAGAGAGCTAAAAGAGAAAATCCAGAGATTTTCCATGGAAAAAAGAAGCCTCCACTCCTACTCCACACCAGCCATAAAAAATAATTCAACTTGGATCACAAATTTACAAGTTAAGGCTAAAACTATAAAGCTTCTAGAGGAAAACACAGGAAAGTACCTTTGCAAGCTTGGGTAGTCAAGAATCAATTATATAGAACACAAAAAGCATAGATTACAAAAGAAAAACTTGGTAAACTGGACTTCATCAAAATTAAAAGCTTGTGCTTTTCTAATGGCACCATTAAGAAAAGGCAAAGGCAACTCAGAGAGAAGGAGAAAGTATTTGCAATACATGTACCTGACAAAAGATTGTACCCAGAATAATTGAAGAACTCCTATGAACAAATAATAGAAAGACACCTACTAATTCAAAAAATGGACAGAATATTTGACCCAATAACTTCACTACAAACAATAGAAAATTGCCAGTAAGTACATAAACAAAGTGTTCGATGTCATTAATCAACAGGGAAATGCAAATTTGAACCCACAAGAAGTTACTATTTACTCCTTAAAATTGCTAAAATGAAAAAGACTGACAGCACGTCAGTGAGAGAATAGAAAAAGTAAAACTCCATATGTATATTCTTGGTAGGAATCTAAGGTGATATGATCACTTTGGAAGACTATCTGTCAGTCCCTTATAAAGTTAAATCTAACTTATAGATTATAAGTAAATGGTCAATTAACACATTTTTTATGTTATATGCATTCCATACTGTATTCTTATAATAAAGTAAGCTAGAGAAAAAATGTTATTTAAAGATTCATAAGAAAGAAAATACATGTAAGTGGACCCACGGAGTTCAGACCCATGTTGTTTACAGTCCAATGTACATTGGCCAAAGAAGCCAGTCACAAGCATACATATTGTGTAACCCTCTTTATGTGAACATCAGGACAGATAAGTACAGTTCCAGAAAGGAGGTACTTCTTACTGGTGATAAAAATCAGAACCATGGTTGATAAAAATCAGAACCAGTGGGCAGAAACTGACTTGAAATCAGCATAAGGGAACTCTCTGGCATGGTGGAAATGTTCTAGATGTTGTCTAAGGTGTTGGTTACACAGCTCTTTTACACTTAAGTTAGGTGCATCTGCATGAAAAAGAGGCAAGCAAGGTTTTGTTGAGCCCCAGGTGGGATCCTTGGTGCTAGACTATCAGAGTTCAGCTTGAGCACATAGAGGTCTCTTCTCTGGTCACTGTCTGAATTCTGCCATTTTCTTGTCCCCTTCTTCAGAGTCCTGTGAACACTCATCTCTCCTAATGAATAATGTCAGTGTGCTAGAAGAGAGACTCAACTTACTGTCATATGAGGGACAAGGTAACTATTACTCAACTTAACAATTTGGTATTAAATCTTTGTTTTCTTTTCTTCACAGAAGCAAAGGCTGCATTTTGTCTCCTACCCCAGGGCTCTTCTAGTCCCTGATTCTACCTGCCCTCACCTGCCCACAAATGTGACCGAGACTATGGGCAGAGAAATCTGAGCTCCCCAGTAGAGAGAGTATTCAGTGATGGAGACTATAGAAAGAGAAAGTGGAAAAGGTAGTTAAGAGTAATAAAAGACAAACTACATAAACAGATCCAATTTTCCAGAAGAAACATAAACTCTGGGTGTCTGGGGGGGGTGGAGAGGGATAGTTTTCAGTTAACTTCAAGAGACCAACTGAGAGGAATTTGGAGGTAGCATTCTATGTTCAGTCCACACGGGCTGGACATGTGGGGAGGACCCCATACTGTAGTCAAAGCCCCAGGGTGGGAGCACTTGGGTGACTCAGTCGGTTGGACATCCAACTTTGCCTCAGGTCATGATCTCATGGTTAGTGGGTTTGAGCCCTGTGTTGGTCTCTGTGCTGATAGCTAGCTCAGAGCCTGGAGCCTGTTTCAGATTCTGTGTCTCCCTCTCTCTCTGACCCTACCCTGCTCACACTGTCTCTTTCTCTTTCTCTCTCTCTCTCTCTCAGAAATAAATAAAATATTAAAAATTAAAAAAAAAAAAAGTCCTAGAGTGGAGTGGTTGAGACAGCAAGAGTGGGGAGCCTGGAGGATGCCAGTTCACAGAGAGACTGAAGGTCAAGGTAAAATGGGAGAAACAGTGACCAACAGAGAGAAAGTAAAGATGTAGTAGAAAAGAGAGAAACTGAAGTATGGCTCAAGGATCAGAGGTAAAAAGTGAGAGAAAAACATAAGAAGATAGAAAGATGGAAAGGAAGGTAATTACTAGAAAGTGAGGAAACCCAGGGAGATGCAAAGACATGGAGAGGAAGGTAAGTACTAGAAAGTGAGGAAAGCCAGGGAGATGCAAAGACACTTACAGAGAGAAAGAGAGTAGATGGAAACTAGGTGAAAGCTAAACAGAGGATAAGGGGGAACAGGAATAGGTTGGGACGCTGCAGGTTTGAGGCCAGAGCACTGGATAGAAACACCTTTGGACACAAAGACAGACAACATTACCTGCGAGTTTCCAGAAGAAATTGTCCCTAATTATCAAAGTGGCACTTACAAAAAGTCACACTGCAGTAGGCCTCTCCCTGAATATTCCAGTGATTCTCAAGACCAAACCTCTACCCCAGCTTATTTTCAGAGCTAATTTATCCATGGACCTGAAGACCAGGGGCCTAATAGATCCCTACACTGGAATTCTTTTGAGAACCTTAAACTTGGCACATCCAGAACTGAAAGCATTGTTCATTCTTCATTGTTTAAGCTAGAGCCAACTCCTCAGCCTTCTTTCTCTCACGATAAATCACTACTGATCTATGTTTTTTCAAGTTGGAAACCTAGTAGTTTGTCCCAGACTCCTCTTGCCCTCAATGACATACATGTTACTGCTCCAACGTGGTCACCTTCAGAATATCTCCCACCTGCCCATCTGTCACATCCCCAGGGTGGAGTCTCTAATCCATGTCTCTGCCACTATTGTTGTTCTCAGAGGCAGACTTCTATTTACCTCCTATCTCCAAACTTATGCCCATTATTTGCACTTCAACTAAATGGGACATTTGAAAATAAAAATTAAATTGTATTATTATCCTACTTAGGAATAATAAGAAGTATTTCCTACTTCTTAATACACAAGGATTAAATAAATGTTTCTTTCAGTGGAGCCCAAGGTCACCTACAGTGAGCCAGCCACCTGCCTGTTTCTCCATCCTCATCATCATCTGCCTCCTACATTATTACTTCAAGACAGAATAAACTTTCTCCCCCAATAATTTTAAATGTTATATATCTCTTTCATATCTGAGCCTTTTCATGTGCCTTATTTAAGACTATCGTTATGTTTCACTGTCCTCTGTGTACTCTTCTCCATTCTGGGTAAATCCTATTTAAAATATATCATCCTGGGGCGCCTGGGTGGCTCAGTTGATTGAACCTCTGACTTCAGCTCAGGTCATGATCTCACGTTCGTGGGTTCGAGCCCCATGTCGGCCTCTGTGCTGACGGCTCAGAGCCTGGAGCCTGCTTCAGATTCTGTATCTTCCTGTCTCTCTGCCCCTCTCCCTCTCATGCTCTGTCTCTCTCTGTCTCAAAAATAAAAAAAATAAAAAAAAACATTAAAATATACCACCCTGGGGAGGCCTTTCTTTAGAGAAAGCTAGACAACTGAGAGGAACAATCAAGAGACAAAGGGTAGAAGAGGAATAGAATTTTCAGAAAAAATAAGGGAAAAAGTCATCAGAACAGAGAACAAGAGAGGAACACACTGAGGAAAGAGAAGCTCCAAGAGACGGCAGGAGAACAAAGATAGAGATTGGTAAGATTGACAGAATCAAATGGTAAAGGGAAGAAGTAGAAAAAGAATGATGCATAAAAAAGGAAGATTTTCCCATGATGGGTGAATTATTCTTTCCCTCCAGTGAAAGCTACTGAAGAGAACGCAACCTCTGGTCTGGCCGTTGTTTTGTAGAATGGGGCATTCCAGTTTTTCAGGCTTATTTGGTTTTGTTATTTTCTTGCTGTGAATTCTCTTCGGTCATAAATTGAGATGTCTGTGAGATTTCATTCCCTTCTGCTGAGTAGAACAAGGCCTGTTGGGAGACCAGTGATGAAAAAGAGCCTCAGGAAAGCTTGAGCTCCCCATCAAGACATGGGCCCAGTAAGGAAGTGGGGATGGGGCTGGGGTCTGCCAGTGCTGAGCTGCAGGGTGTCAGGTAGCTGGGTTTTCAGCTGGTGTTTCCTGATGTGTTTTACTCTGAGCACACACCACAGTCAAAAGATCCAGTGTGTCCTAGAATCCCATGAGTCACATAAATATTCCCGAGTACACATTCTAGGAGAAATATGCTGAAGAAAGGGCAATGTCTTTCATACCTATTCATAGTAAAGGCTTGAATTTCTAATAACTGAACGTTTACCTTCTCTAGAGAATAAAAACTGTATTTTATTCTGTTTATTGATAAGGTTAGTATTTTGTGCCTAAGTTTGGAAAAAATTATGATTTTTCAAAGAAATTTGGTAAACAACATGTCATTTCATCTCTACAAACTTATGCATTTAGACAGAATGTTGCTTCTTCCTATTTTATAAAGAAATAGAAGCACTGCAGCATGTGAGGGTCTTTTACCAGATCAAATTTGTTACACAAGAGGAGGGACCATGGTGATGGTCGTGTGGGGCTGGCAGAGGGTCAGGGTGGCCAGCATCACCAGTGCAGAGTTCACACCAGAGAACCCAGGAAATGTTCAGGTACCGAGGCGAGTGGATCAGGGCCCAGCATAAGAAGATCCTCATCCAACAAATATATTTCAGTAATAGGAGCAGGGAAAAGGAGAAGGAGCTGGTAGGATTGGGACTTACCATGTGGGATGCAAGATATCTAAAAAGAAAAACTGGGCCACAAGTAAGGAAACTGACAGAGAGCAATAAAGAGCCATGAAGAAGAAAACAACCAAGAAACCTAGGGATTCATGGAGATGGCCAATCCTTCATGATATAGAAACAATAGTGTGTGGTGACTGAATAATGAGGAGAAAGGATGCGTGTGAAGGATAACAGAAGAATAAGAGACAGAGCATGACTCTGGTGGGTCTTAGGTGAAGTTTTTTTTTCCTGAAGGAGAAGTTCACCTGAGCGTTGAACACCAGAATTCAGCATGCTGAGGTCTGTTCCCTCATCACCATATCTGGTTGGTCATTTCTGTGTTTCCCTCAGTTTCCTGTGAGTATGGCACTCTCCAGTGGACAAATGGTGGCCATTTTGAAGAGATATCCAAACTGCTACCAGGTGATGGGGGAGGTAATTATGATTTAAATGACAAATTATTTCATTAAATTTGTTTGCCAGCCTGTATGCAAGGGACACTTCCTTTCCTTCTCCCAAACACAAATACACACTTTTACTCAGTCTCGGGTTGTTTGTCTCAGGTGTATGGGAAGCAAAAGGGATAGATATGGATATAGATAAATATAAATAGAATAATGATATAATATAACAATACTATGGATAGAATAATAAAAATGCAGACTGGGGGCACTAATCAAGTTGTTTAAGTGGCCCCAATTCTATCTAAATGTGCATGGAATCTAAATACTTCCAGGTTGGGGTGTGGGAGGGGAGAGATAATCTTAAACTTATTTCCTAGGGATTGCAGAGAATTAATGAAAACTATGTATAGCAGAGACAGAGAAGGTGAATTAAGAGAATAAATAAATAGATAATGGAGCCAAGAGATATAGAACATCATCAAGGAACAAAAGGACAGAAATGCAAACAGTTGGCAGAAGTCAGGGAGAGCAAATGATATTCAAAAAGATCCATAGCTTCATGGTACAGATGCAGTGCAGCAACATGTGGGGACAGGGTTAAAGGGAGAAGAGGGAAGGAGAGAGAAGGGGAAGGAGCTTAAAAAGGTAGTAAAAAAAAGGCAGAGCAAGTTTTGTTGGTACAAACATACTTTTCTTCATGAGGAGCCATTCTCCTGCACTCTGAGCATCAGAGCTCCAATGCTCTCTGAGTATTGGCCACATCAAATAGAGTCCAGACCAACTGTCTATCATGTTCCTGTTTCTCTCTTCAGCGTCCTGTGAACTTGTGGCTTTACAAAGGGATGAAGGAGAAGAATCAGAAGAAATGCCCAGATTACTACCTTATGATGAAGAAGGTAATTAGGATTTAGATGACTTATTATCTAATCAAAGCTTTATTTTCCTGTTAATATAGGGGAATACCTATTCTTTCATACCCTTCCCTATTCATCCATCCACCCATTCATCAATCCATCCATACTCACTTATGCACATAGACAGACTATGGCCAGCTTCTGGTTGCTTCCTTTGAGAGATACAAGCAGTGAAGGATGATCTCAGATTGGTTGGTGTTTCCCTGGGTGTAGAACATAGACAAAGACAGAGAATGAAAAATATAGATGGAGTCATGAAATGAAGACAGACCAGAGTGATTGACAATCCTACCTAAATAGACATGGAGTCTAAATATAACCAAGCAGGAATGTGTTATCAGGAGGGGAGATCATTTTCAACCTATTTTCTCTGAGGTTGTGCCAGGAACATGAGTATAATGAGTGTAATTGCAATACAAAGAACTCATGTGAAAGAGTTTTGAAGTGGACCTGGAAAAGTCAAGGATCTCTGCTTGTTTGTCAATGGCCACAGTGCAGAACATTGGTAATGTGGGAGAAGAAATATAGACATGGACAAAACATGCAGAAAGTCTGAAATTTAAGTTTTCAGTTTTAATTCTTAGGTTGAAAATTAGAAATGGAGTTAAGAACTAGAGAGAACAGATAGAAGCATCATGGAATGAAGGAGATAAGCTCTTAAACAGGTAGAGAATGAGATGCAGAGATGAGAGGGAACACTAAGAAACAGAAAGGTGGGGAGAAGCATAGAAATTATATACTGAGAAAAAGCTAAAGGAGATGAGTGAAAATTCAGCAGAGGTGAACACTGTTTACAGGGATATAGAAGACAGTTTGGGACATTGTAGGAATTAAGAGAAGAGTCACTGGTTGGAAACAAGTCTGGCACTAGGGTTGGAACATGTTAGCAATGAGTTTTCAGGTTATGATGTCCCCAGTTATCAATATGGCACCGGTAATATTCTCAGAGGCAGTGAACCTCCCCCTAGGCATCTTCGTCTCCTCCCATCTATAACTTATGATCCCCAAACACTTATGTCTGGCCCAGGCTCATCTCATGATGTCTGAAAGACACCTCCATTTGGAAGTTTTACAAGAAACTCAATACAAAACACCCACAATTTCATGTGCCATGTTTCCTGACACCAGATCTACTTCTTTCCCAGTGTTCCCTATCTCAGTACAGAACACCATTGTTCCATTCTTCAGACAGAAACTTAAGGGTCATCAGTGACTGATCCCCCTCCCTCAACTCACACAGCCTATCAGTCATCCAGGTTAGTCAGCTGTACCTCGAACTTGTCTCTTGCCCATCCATTCCTCTCCACACCCAAGACAAATGCTCCAGTCAGATCTATCTTCGTTCTGGAGACAGAGCAACAGCTTTTAGTCTCACATCTTTGCCCCAGTCATATTCCCATCACACCCAATCTCTCCAGGTGATCCAGAGGACTCTGAAAATGCAGATTGATTTATCCTACTTTCCTACATTAAGCCAATAACCTCTTGTTATCAGAAAGATTAAATCCATTTTCTTTCCCATGACTCCTCCTGTCCTGCAATTACTTCAAAAATTTGCATAATATTTTTTCAGTGATTTTAATTATCTGATAACTCTTGCTCATCTGAGCTTTGGCACGTGCTTGGCCCTATGATCGGACACCGAAACCTTTCTGGACAGTTTTCTTGGTCACCAATTTGATGAAATCATGTGGAAATTAGATATTGTCTCATAGATGTCTTTTCTGATCCTTAGAAAGCAACAGGATAAGAGATGGGGAAGAGACATAAAGCATAGCATCAGGAAGTCATGAGGAGAAAAAAGGAGGTGGGATCAGAGTCGGGGAAAGAAACGAATCAAGACAAAGAGGAATGCCAAGAGATCCCAGGAGTGTGATACAGTAGGTAGAAAAGGAAGAGGCAGACACACGTGGGAAGGGTGAAAAATGAGAGAGAAAACGAAGTGTGGGAGACAAGGTGTGCAAGGTTTCTGACAGTTTCTGTCACATTACTGGGCTGTGCCAGACTTCCTTTGACCTTTGCAAAACCCTAAGACACAGGCAGGGAAACTGTTGTAATCTCTGTGTTGTGGACGGGGAACAAAGCACAGAAAGGCACACTGGTTATTTTTGCAAGGGCAAAGCAGAAAAGGCAGAGTGGGCAGCACTGGATGTGTCACTGAGGTTGACAGTGACAGGGAAGCCACCTGGCAGTCAGGGTGGGGTTCTGTGGTCAGAACTAGAAAAGGAAACCCCAGGAGCCCCAACAGATCACCCCAAAGGAGTGAAACTGGATCCAACATAAGACCTTCATTAAGGAAAAACTAACATTGGTGGGGAGAGAAAGGAGATCGCTGAGACAAAGTGTAGGAACGGACTCAACCACTTGGGCTTGAAGATATCTAGAGTAAGAAAGCTTGGAAGGATAATAGGAGAAAAGGAATGCATTATTACTGAAAAACAAAAGCAAGAGTGAAAAACAACAGATGGGGGAGAAGCCCAGACAATGGAAGAGATAGACCACTAGGAAACATAAATGCAGGTGGGACCCCCGGACGTGGACAGAGGAAGTGTAACAAGATGGCAGAAAGCAGAACAAGACAGACTCCCAGGGGTGGCATGGAGCAGGCAGCTTGCTTTCCCCTCCTGGTGGTCACGGACATGCTGAGGTTTGCTCGCATTGCCCTCCATGGTCCATCATGTCCTTGTTTCTCTACAGTGACCTGTGATTCCAGAGCTTTGCAAATGACTAATGAAGGAGAACCAAAGAGATGCCCAGTCTACCTGTAGAAGAGGGAGAAAGTAATTCTGATTTAAATCCCCAACCACCTCAACAAATCTTTATTTTCTAATCAGCACAGAAAAAAATATTGTCCTTCTCCCATTCTCCCATTTGCTTCTACATATTCACATATATACAGATGGCCCTGTGTCCATTTTCTGTTTTGCTTTTTTCAAAACTGAGAGAGTCTAAGGATAATGATGAGCAGAGCTCCTGAGTGAACAGGGTATTTCTGCCTAGCGAACATAGGAAGACAGGATATAGCAAAGGGTATAGCAAAGCAAAGTAGGCTACAGCACCAGGACAGAAGGACCTGGGTGATTTTATTAAATGCCCATGAAAATCCAAATACCAGCAGGCTCTGGCAGCTGAGGCAATGAAATCATTTTCAGCCTACTTCTGGAAGTACCAGGAACATGGAAATAAGTTTTGTGAATGTTGGCTAGGTTTCCATTGTAGAAGGTCTGTTGGGAGACTGTTAGGATAGATCTGATAAGAGAAAGCCGTATGGTGTTGTGGTCCATGTGAAAAGGGAAGAACTTTTGTTAGTTTAGGAGGAAGCATCTGTGAGACTGAGGAAAATAGATGAAGTAATAGAAATTTTACAAGCATCCAGGAAGATAAGCCTCAGAGAAACAGAGATAGTAAAGGAGAAAGTGAGAGACAACATGGAAAGTGTATAAGCTCACTAAGAGGTGAGATACAGAGGTGAAAATTAGAGAGATTATACAATTATCTGGCAAATAAATACCAAAATAGTAATAATGCAGAGGGAAGCACAAAGGGAACTATGTAGAGAGTTATACCAAAATAATTTAAAAATCAATACGGAGTGAAAATTGCTGTATAGGGAGGGAAGAAGCTAAGCTCTTGTAACACTGAAGTTCGAGTCTAGACAGGAGCATCTTCCAGCAAACAGGGTCTCAGTCGTGAGCCTTCAGATTTAATCTCCCCAGGAAGAGAGTGGTTCCTGGGACACACTGGCAGAGAAATATTCCTTTCCCTGGCAGTTTCAGCTACTCTCAGGTAACAGAATGAGTCTCAAATGCATGCCTGCTAGGCACACCTGTCTCCCAAGGTCATCCATCTATGTATCTGAAGGCATTTATCACAGGATCCCCTCCATCTGGATGACTTTCAGGAACTGACACTTCCCAAATTGAAACCAACAGCTTCTTCTGTGAAACTAGAAACTCCTTCTCCAGGATTTGCTCCCTCATTAAAGAAAGCATGAATGTCCCATTTCCTCTTGCTCCCATCCATTTTCTCCACTTTAGCATGATTGTGATTTGCAAGATGTCAGTCAGATCATATTATTTTCCCATATAAACACAGTGAGCTTTGTCGCCTTAGGATTAAATCAGTTGTCGTCCCTGTGGTTTTCTGTGTCTCCTATTCACTGCAGGGTGCCACCCTACTTCTTCTGCCACATCTCTAATGATAGTGTACATATTTTTAGTGGTTGTGATATTCTGATCTTTCTTTTATATGTGGGACTTTTTTTTGTTTTGTTTTGTTTTGTTTTTATTTTTTATTTATTTCTAAGAGAGAGAGAGAGATAGCGTGAGCAGGGGAGGGTCAGAGAGAGAGGGAGTCACAGACTGAAACAGGCTCCAGGCTCCGAGCTTGCAGTCAGCACAGAGCCCGACGCGGGGCTCGAACCCACGAACCGCTAGATCATGACCTAAGCGAAAGTCGGACGCTTAACCGACTAAGCCACCCAGGACTTTAAGCCACTTTCCCCGGCGTTTGGTGGTGTTGCCTTGGCCTGGTCTGCTCCATACCCCATCCCCTGATTGGGTTCTATTGTACTATGTCAGGGATGCCTCTCCTGAGGGCCAGCAAAGAAGGGAGCAAGAAGAGAATGAGTGACATAAAGACACTAATGAGTATCAGGGACACAAGAAAGAAGAGATAGAAGCAGAAGAGACAGAAATACATCCAAACAAAGAGAAGCACGTGGAGACACTGGTAGTGGGAGACAAGGGCAGAGACAGAAGTAATGAGTAGGAGCAATGGGAGAGGGGAAGATGGAAGCTAGAATTAGGTGTGAACAAAAGGAGGAAGATGGTGGGTGGTCCTCAGACTGATGATAGTGACAAGGTGAAGTTAATCTGCAGGCCAGGTGAGCCCAGAGGTGGACCAGATGGTTTGGGACGGGGACAGTTCCTCCTAGCAGATACCTGAATGTCCCATGTCTTCATTAGGAGTTTTCTTACCATGATCTCCCCTGGTTGTGTACTGAAATGGCTGGTGTGTTTAATTCCTTTCTGCAGAGCATGGCTATGCCTGCTGGGACATCAGTGATGAAGAAGAGCCTCAGGAAGTCTTGAGCTCCTCACCAGCATGTGGGCCAGGTAAGAAAGGGATGGCCAGCTCTGGGCTCTAGGGTATCAGGTGGCTGCATTTAGAGCTGAATAGCATGGCTTTTATTGTTAGAATAGATACACTCCATCTTAATGTTATAATAGATAAATACTGGGAAAGACAGCATCTTTTTTCCTTCACACTCTTTATATCTACTTATACAAAAGACTCAATATTGTGATTTAACCCCTACCCACTCCTTAGTTTCTATAAAGAATTAAAGCTAAGTTTGTATCGAGTGCTTAATATTGTTATATTGTCATAAGCTTGGGTAGGCCTCAAAAAATGTGGTTCTGAGATCTACTTGTCAGAAGGAAAGATCAAGAGCTCCCCAGCCCAAATTACAGTTTTTGTCACATATTTGTCATCAGGTTTTGGATTATATTGCACTTTTTTCTTTTCAAAGTATTTGGGCAAGTGAGATTTCATCATAAAAATTTAGGGCTTAGCTAAGGAAACTGTGGCTATTGCTCCTTAGAGATAAGACATGCAAACACATATAAAGGATACTGGTTCTTCCCCCCAAAGGTCAGATAAGAGGAAGAGCAGAGACCTGTGCCTTGAACATCTCATTACAGATAGTGGCTGTTTGAGGCTAGCAGGGGTCAATATGGTCACACATGAGTCCAAAGGGAGGCTTGTGGCTCCGAAGAGGACCAGAATAGGGCCTAATGCAGAGAGACTTCCACTTCACAAATAAAGAATGCCAGCAGGGAGGAGAAGAAATCAAGAGAGAGTGACAGAAGGAATGGATCCTGCTATAGGAATTAAAGAGACCTAGAAAAACAGAGTTAGGAGGAATAAGCAGAAAAGAAAAGATCAAGATCACCATTGAGGAAAAAAAAAGATGGAAAAGTAAAAAGATAGGTGAAGTTGGGGGAGCATAGCTCATGAAATCAAAGATGCACAAATATTCTCCTAATGCAGAGGCAGAAATGTTTGGAGCAGATCCATGGGAAGAAAGTAAATGAAGCAGAGAGCAGGAGAGTCAGGTGATGGAGATGGAAACAGAGGCAGAGCAGGGATCAGTTGGATCTCAGATGGGGTCCTTGAAGCAGATGTCCTTTTTCCCAAAGGGCAGCTCACCTGTGCTTTGAACATCTTGGCTCCCCTCCTTTCCTTCTTTCCCTTCAGGGTCCTGTGATCCTGAAGCTCCTCAAATGACTGGTGAAGAAGTACCAGAGAAAATGCCCAGTCAACTACTATATTATGGGGAAGGTGATTATAATTTCAATTCCCATTTCACTGAATCTTTGTGTCTCTGTCTACAAGGAGGAAAATCTCCCCTTTCCTCTCCCCCTTCCACTGTTCCCCTTCACTTACCCATATAGAAGAAATGTGTACAGCCAAGTAAAAAGGATCAAAAACAGAGAGAGAATTAGGTGTACGGGAAGGGAGGGAGATGGGTGACCATTCTCAGCCTCTGGTGATAGTAGCATGAGCTATGTTAACTCCCAGGTCGAGTGAACTCAAAGGCAGGAGGGTCTGAGGGCAGGGACATTCCTACATGGAAGATACTTGAGCCACCCTGGGGGTCTGGTTTTCTCAGGGTGAATGTTTCTACTATGGTTTCCATTGGTCATATGCTGGATTTGCTAAAGGATTTTGTTCTATTCAGCAGAAGGTAGCAGTGCCTGTTTAGAAATGTATAATGAAGAAGAGCCACAGGAAGACTTGACCTCACCACCAGAAAGTGAATCATGTAAGGAAGGGCAAATGGCAGGATTTCCCTCCTTTTTAATGGCTGAATAGTATTCCACTGTGTGTGTGTGTGTGTGTGTGTGTGTGTGTGTGTGTGTGTACGCGCGTACCTACCACATTTTCTTTGTGCATTCATCTGTTGATGGACACTTAGGTTGTTTCCATGTCTTGGCTATTGTAAATAATAATGCAGTCACATGGAGACACCGATGTCTCCTTGACATAGTTATTTTGTTTCCTTTGGATATATACCCAGAAGTGAAATGGCTGGATGATAATAGTGGCTCTATTTTTAATTTTTTGAGGAACCCTCATACTGTCCTTTATAGTGGCTCTACCACATTACAGTACTACCAACAGTGCACTACGCTTCCTTATTTCTACATCCTCACCGGCATTGATTATCTCATGTCTTAATAATCTCTTTTTCTTAATATCAACTCTGCCATATAGCATAACCTAATAACGGGGGTAATATCTCATGATAGTCACAGTCCCTGGGATCAGGGAAGGGGATCCAAGGAGACATTGAGAAGTATGCCTACCACAGTGAGACTCAAGTACATTTCTGGAAAATAACTATCCACACGAGCCATTGACTTACCCAAGTAAATAATGTAAGCTATTGTTATCAAACCAGACATCAAACAAAGCTGAGCATAAATGTATTTAAAAAAGAATATGGCTTTAGAAAAGATTATAGTAATTGAATTAGGCACTACAGAGAAGTGAAATATACCTATTTTGCTGGTTGCTTTCAAATCTTGAGTTATGCATACTGTAGACATAATAATGTTCAAATCAGTTATAAATTGAATATGTGTAGGGGCAACTGGATGGTTTAGTTGGTTGAGCTTCAGACTTTGGCTTGGGTCATGATCTCACAGTTCGTGAGTTCAAGCCCTGTGTTGGGCCCTGTGCTGACAGCACAGAGCCTGAAGCCTGTTTCTGATTATGTGTCTCCCTCTCTCTCTCTGCCTCTCCCCCACTTGCATTCCATCTCTCTCTGTCTCTCAAAAATAAACATTAAAAAAATTAAAAATAAAACATAAATTGATTATGCTTAGGAGAATTTTCTAGGAATTCTAAAGCTATTCTTTCTTTAGTATATTTAATCTGGTAGTTTAATTTGCAGAATAGGTCTCTACCTACTAAATTTATAGGGATTTTTTTCTTAATATAAGGAAAACTTAGATGATGGTCTGAAAGTAGCAGTAACTGGTTGGGACATGGGAACTTTTGGTCATCTTTTTCTCTTTTATAGACATACTATCAGGGGGGCCTGGGTGACTCAGTCGGTGAAGCATCTGACTCTTGATCTTGGCTCAGGTCATGATCTCCCGATTCGTGAGTGAAGCCCCACGTCTGGCTCTGTGCTGACAGTGCTGAGTCTGCTTGGGATTCTCTCTCTCTCTCTCTCTGCTCATCCCCCACTAGCACTCTCTCTCTATCTCAATAAATGAATGAATGAATGAATGAATGAATGAATGAATGAATAAATAAATAAATGTTAAAAATACTATCAAATCCACTGTTTACTTTTGACATGCCCAAAGTTCCCAATGAAATGCAAAGTCATCTTTTGTAAAATTTTACCATTTACTATTTTACCATTTGTACTATGAAAGTACAAAGAGGAAGTAAAGTTCTGTCAGTGGGAGACTGTAGCTTTGGCCAAGATAACCCCATGACAAATAACAATGAAGCCACCATATGCAGTCATTAGTGCAAACAGTGCCATGCAAGTGAATGGGGTATTGGGTTCATCCAGAGAGCAACGACTACAATGGGGACATAGGCTCTATTACATGATAATAGTTGACCTCAGATTACGTGATAAACAAAATTATTTTCTTTCAATTGACAAGAGGTTGTGGGGCGGGGGGTACTCAAGACCAAGGGTGACCAAATATCTTTGTACAAATTGGCTACTGTCTAATAGACCCACATCCATTAATTAGCTTTGGATAGGGTACTTATCAGGTCTATGACTCCATCTGTTTGCTTTGGATCAGTTTCTTCTAACATTCAAGAAGCACTAGAAAATCAGGAGCAAACACACGTAAGACAAGACTTTGAAAAATGGACAAAAGTGAGAGTAAGTGAAACAGTGGAAAAATAAAAACATTACCCGAATATTTGCTAACTGCTGTACCTCCAAACCAAAATGTCTAACTACTTTGCATCTGGTTGCATATACATCTTTAAACAATAAGATTAATTCAGAAACAAGAACTCAGTGAAACAAGTCAGAGCTCAAGTCATTATTGAGATGGATTGATGAGGAAGACCATCTGAGTTGGGCACAAGAGGCTGTGGATTTACATCTGTTGGTCCAAAGGTCCCACAGGACATCCCTAAATTAGACTCTTCAAAATGATCTTGGTGGGCACTCCATTTTTTAAGGGATAGGCTATCATGCAACATCTGAAGCTAAAAGAGGGATTGATTGCTTGCTGAGCAAGGTACATGGTGGAAGCAGGTACTGTACTTACAGGACACAATTCTTTTAAAAAGGAACTTGCTTTTATTAGAGTTTTAGGAAGCCTGTAGTTCAGGGACTACAGACTTTTAGAACCAAGGAGAGTTTACAACTAGGTTATAATTTAGTCATAGACACAAGCTTTCTGGAGAGTGGCTGTTGCTGACTGGCTAATTTTCAGAAGTGTAAGGCTGTCACCAATTGGCCTGCTTTAAATGTGGTTTGTGATGTAAGTAGTGATTGGCCAATTGAGATGAGTTTAAAACTCATTCCGGTAATTACTTTTTTACAATTTTCAAAAAACAGTTGGTTTTTTCCTGGAAGGTTAAGATCTTTTAATTTTATTCTTAAGACTACAGGCAGAAAAGTAAGAGTAGAGAAATCAGAATGAGGTACAAAAGATGGGAAAAGCATGGCATTGGCAGCTCTTGGTTGTGATTATTGGAGCAGGAATAGTCTTTTCCCAGAAAGCAGCTCATTCTAACTCTGAATATCAGGGTTCAGCATGAAAGCACTGAAACTCTTCCCTAATCACTGTCTCGGGATCCCCAAACTGTAATTTTCTTGTTTAGCATCTGGTGAACTCGAAGCTCTCCAAATAAATAGCAAGGAAGAATCAGAAGAGCTTACTTCCAGCCTACTATCCTATGATGGACAAGGTAATTATGACTTAAAGAATAATAAAACCAGAAACAGAGGCTGACAAAGAGAAAAAGATAAGGAAGGGAAAAGGGAGACTTAAAGGAAGGGCCAGAGATGGGGAGGGCCAATGGAAAGTTTCAGAGGAAGAAGTAGACAAGTAGAGATCCAGATAGGTACAGAAAAGGGGATCACTGGGGTAAATAAAAGTCTTCATACATCACAATTTTGGCCCAGGAGCAGAGCTGCCAGTACATGGAAATGAGAAGTGTTCTTGTGTTATGTGCTTCTCAAAAGATGTGCCAGAAGGTCCAGAAGCAAGTACTGCAGATAGCAAAGCATGTGCCATGATAGGTAAGGCTACCTGTGGGTGTGGGATGGGCATGACTTTACCACATGGTATCTGGTGTTCTGGCCCATCCCAGTATCCTGTTTCCTGCTTTACTTGACCTGACTCCTTTCAGAATAATAGAGAGGCAAGAGATTATTATAAAGTCATGTTTAACAAGATGGGCCCTGCTGATTACTCATGAATGATGTAGTGGAAATATGCTCTTAAAGATGGCAGTATCTCATTGACTACATTAGTCTATTAATCATAAAGGCTTGTATTTATACAATGATTTCCATCCCTGTCACACCCAACCTCCTGTGGTGCCCAAGAAAGCAAACCATACTTCTGCTAGTAGATAATAGTGTCATTTTGTCACAACCTTAGAAAAGTCTCAAGAGACAACAATCATGCCACTTATTTGTCATGAGGAAAGACTATTCTTGGCCTAGCACATATTTTTGTTGGACACCCTCTAGCATGTCACTGGTTTACAGAGTGATTTCCTGTAAATGCTTGGACATAAGATTTTATTTAATCTTCACAAAAATCTTAAGACCTAAACAAATATCCCTGATTAGACTGAAATACATAGGTATTTAAGAGTATTTTTCCAAATACCATTGAGAAATAAAGGAAGGCCCATCCTGGACTCCTCAAGTCAGTAGGTTTTTAGTCCGTTTAGAAAGAAGAGAGAAATGATAAACCCAAACATCTTTGTAAATTCAAGCCTTCTGCAGTATGAATAATCCCAACATTTTTAACTTTTATTTATTAATTTCTGTTTCCTCACCCTAATCTGTTATTTTCTAGATACTGTGGATCTTAGAAACAACTCTACTTTGGGAAAACTCAAGAGGAAAAGAAGTAAGAGTGCATAAGATGTTACTTGTTTTTGATGTTAAAAATGAGTTTTTTAATGCTAGAGTAGCATTATTACTATTTACAATAATAAGAGATAACAATAGGATGTCTGTTTAAACATGTCCATATCTTAATTGCTGAAATTTGTAATCTGTTATCTGACCTGGCAAAAGAGATTTTACAGATATAATTAAGCTAAGGATCTTGAAAGTGGAGATTATTCTGGATTATCTGGGTGCACCCAATATAATGGAATAGGTTTTGAAACATGGAGGGCTGTTCCTGGCTGTGGAGGTGGGGTGGGGGGGAGGCTATGGAAGATAGTCACAGAGAGGTGCCATATTGCTGGCTGGAGGAGGAGGTAGATGGAGGAAAGGAACCAGGAATATGGATGACCTCTGGACACTAGGAAAGTCAAGGAAATGTATTCTACTGTACAGCCTCCAGAAAGGAATGAAGGTCTACTGGAACCTTGGTTTTAGCCCAGAGAAACCCTTGTCAGACTTCTAATTGACATAACCATGAGATAATAAATTTATATTGTTTTAAGCCACTAAATTTGTAGTCATTTGTTATGGCAGCAATAGAAGAGTAATACAGACTTTGGTTGCTGGAAGTGTAGTGCAGCAATAATGCATCTCTAAAAATTTTTTTAAATATTTACCTAGTTTTGAGAGAGAAAGAGAGACAACACGAGTGGGGGAGGGGCAAAGAGAGAGGGAGGCACAGAATACGAAGTAGGCCTCAGGCTCTGAGCTATCAGCACAGAGCCTGACACGGGGCTCAAACATGTGAACTGCGAGATCACGACCTGAGCCAAAGTCAGCCGCTTAACCAGCTGAGCCACCCAGTCTCCACAGCAATAATGCATTTCTAGAAATGTGAATGTGGCTTTGGAATTGGACAATGGGCAGAGGGAAATTGGGCAGCGGGAAGAATATAAATGGAATGATAGAAAATGTCTCGATTGCCTTGAGCAGTTTGTTTGTAGAAATACGGGGCTGAAGACCCTACTAGAGAAAGCTTGGAAGTGAAGGACATGGTAGAGAAAATCTTTCTGGTATTTTTAGAAAATATGCAAAGCATCATGAAGACTTAGTAGAAATACAGAAGTTCAAGGTGTCACTGGTAAGGGCTCTGAAGGAAATAAGGAACATGTTTCTGGAAACTAGAGGGAAGAGGATTCTTACTACACAGTGGCAGAATGCTTAGCAAAATTCTGTCCTGCAGAAAATGTGGAAAGCAGAACCTTCTGGATATTTCTAAGCAAGGAGATTTTTAAGCAAGGTGATAAAGGTGCAGCTGGCTTTATTTTTTTCTGCTCAAGGTAAAATGTGAGGGGAAAGAGGTAAATAGAGGGAAGAACTGATAAAAGGAATCAAGACTTGATGATTTGGAAAATTCTCAGCTTTTTCAAGCTGCAAAGATACTAAAATTAGGAGCTCTGCTGTTGAGAGAGGGTGGTCTGTAGTAATAATCAAGAGTGTGATCATACAGTTTTCTGGTAATGTGCCAGAGATAGTAATGGTCAGAAAACTCAATCACAGAAAAGGTTCTTTGAAGGAATTTTGTATGTGACTCACACATCCCCTCCACCATGTTTCCAGAAATAAAAACTAGATATGCGATAGTATAGGAAATACCTGTGGAAGAGTCTGTCTAATGGAGGAAATCCCCATGACATACACGGGAGGGATATACATGGGAAATCCCCATGACATTCTCAGGGCTACCTGAGAATCTTCTATCAACAGAAATAGAGACGTCCTTGTCCTAATCCCTGGCACCTGTTAGCGTTTACTTCACATGGCAAGAGATTTTGAGGGTGTGGGGAAGGATCTTGAGATGGGGAGACTGTCCTGGATTATGTGGGTAGTCACACGGGTCCTTAAAATCAGAAACCTTTCCTGCTGTGGAGAAATGGTTATGTGTCAATGGGATAATGATCAGAGCAAGGTAGTGTGGCTGGTTTGAAGATGAGTGGGGGGCAAGGAGCCAAGCCTTCAGAAGCTGGAAAAGGTGAAGAGATGGGTTATCTCCCATAGTCTTTGTTCAGTAAGGACCAAAGCCCTGTAGACACCTTGATTTTAGCCCAATGAGACTTGTGTCAGATTTCTGACCTTCAGAACTGTAAGATAATAAATTTCTTAGCCATGCAGAACAAGCATCGGAATATTAATATATATTAAACTTTGCCAATCTATGTTATTATTTTGTTTTCTTTGATGCTATTCTTCTTGGTTTGCAGTATGCTAAGGAAGTTGGAGATTTTTATGTAGTAAAATCTATCAGGCTTTTCCTTTATGGTTTCTAGGTTATTAAAATTTATAAAGGTATTTCCCACCTCAAGATTTTAAAAAGTTTATATTTGCTTCCAAACTATTTGAAGTACTTAATACTTTTTAATATTTAAATATATAATTCACCTTTTTGTATGTGATGTGAGAGGGTAATTACAGGAAATAACCCCAACTCTTTTTTTCTTCATGATTTGAAATGCCCTTTTTATGTGTCTTCCCCTGTATTCATGGATCTGTGCCTGCACTCTGAATCACTGGTCTGTTTATTTCTAGTGCAGTAGCAAATTGGTTCAATTACAAAGCTTTCAAGTACATTTTGCTCTTCCTACTCATTATATTTTCTTTTGCAAGGAAAAAAGTAAAAAAAAAATGTAGGGAAGAGCATCGGAAAAGAAAGAAATTTCAGAAGTTCAATAATCCTGGCTTGCTCATTGTGGACTAGTTTCAGAATTAGTCAAAAATTTTCCCCAATGTTTCCCCATTTCCATTGAGGCCTTAATGGAAATTACATTGAACTTGGAGATTAATTTGGGTAGAATTGAGGAACCACGAACCACATATTTATTCAGATCACCTTTTATGTTCTTCAATGTTTTAGTTTTCTTTCTGTAGACCTTACACATTTTTACTTTTCTTATCAGCTTTATTGTGGTATAATTTCATACAATAGCATTCATCACTGTTGTTGTATGACTGGGTGAGTTTTAACAAATGTGTTCAGTCATGTATTGCCACCACGATCATCACCTGGAATATTTCCATCATCCAGTAAACTTGTGTCCCTTTTCTTACCCTCTAGCACATGACAACAGCTGACCTATTTATGCCACTATTGCATTCTCTTTTCTGGGATTTCATATAAATTGATTCATATAGTATATAGTTTTTTAATGTGTGGCCCTTTCATTTAGCCTGAAACTTTTGAGACACATCCTTGTTAGTGTGTTTGTCAGTAGTTACTCCATTGTTACCACTGAGAAGTATTCCATTACATGAATATACCACAGACTGTCTACTCACCAGTTGATAGATGTTGAGCTGTTTCCAGTTTTGGGCTATTACAAATAAGGCTTCTAGAAACATGTGCATACAAATATTTGTGTGGACATATGACTTAACTTTTCTTAAGTAAATATGTAGGAGTGATACTACCAGCTCATCTGAACATATGTATGTGTTCAACATTTTCAGGATCTGCCAAACTAATTTTTATGTTGTATTCTTTTATATTCCCACCAACAAGGTATGAAAGTTCCTATTACTCCACATATTCACCAACACTTGGTATTGCTAATCTTAATTTAATTTAATTTTTTTAAGTTTATTTACTTATTTTGAGAGAGATAGAGAAAGTGAGAGCAGAGGAGGGGCAGAGGAAGAGGGAGAGAGAGAATCCTAAGCAGGCTCTGCACTGTCAGCACAGAGCTGGATGCAGGGCTTGAACTCACAAACTGTGAGATCATGACCTGAGCCCAAATCAAGAGTCAGATACTTACCCAACTGAGCCACTCAGGTGCCCTGCTAATTTTAATTTTAGCCATCCTTATAGGTGAATAATGGTAATTCATGGTTTTAATTTGCATTTTCTTAATGAGTAATGGTGCTGAGCATCTTTTTTATGTGTTTATTTGTCACCTATAGATCTCATTTGATGAAGTGCCTATTCAAATCTCTTACCCATATTTAATTGGATTGTCTATTTTCTAGTCATAAAGTTATTAATATATTCTGGATACAGGTCTTTTACTGGTTGTATGCCCTACTCTCTGCAGTTTCTCTTTTTATTTTCTTAGCAGTGTCAAAAAGCAAAATTTATATTGAAGTCTAACAGTATTTTTTTTTTAATCATCTGAGACATTTCAGTTCTATTTAGGAAATCTTTGCTCAAGATACCATATTTTCTTCAAGAACTTTTATGGTTGTAGCTCTTACATTTAAATCTGTGATCCAGTTTGAGTTAATTTTTGCATATGGTGTGAGGTAATGATTGATTCTTTCTTTTGGCACTCACATATCCAGTTGTTCCAGACCATTTGTGCATTGAATCAATGAATTAAGTACCTTGACACCCTTGTTGGATGTCAGTTGTCCATCTGTGTGTGGGTGTATCTTTGGACTTCCTTTTCCGTTTATCTATATGTCTATATTTTCGCCAGTACTACACCATCTTGATTACTATAGCTTTATAATAAGTCCTTAAATCTGGTAGTGTAAGACCCTCCATTTTGTTTTCTTTTTTCAAATTTGTTTTGGCTACTTTAGGCCCTTCACTTTGAAACTCTTTCTGTCTTTTAGTTCAGCTACTCTCAGAGTTAACGTCATTGTCCAAAGTGCCTACTGAGCTCCAGTCATGTATCTATGTATTAGGCCAACAGAGAGAAAAGGGTGAAGAACAAAAAACATCTTCCCCCAGAGGTCTATCTCTTTTGTGAGAAGTTTTCCTAGAGTTCCCCTCCTCCCATACAACATTCTGCCCTTACCTAATTGATCCAATCTTAACTGGTGACAGTGAGAACTTTTAAGGGAGGTTACAAACTAGGGTATTTTCTACAGAAACATTGACATCTACAACAGTGCCGGTGTTCTGTGAGTTAAACAGGAATAGAAGATGCATATCTGGAATGCAATCTGAACAAATGACCTCATCAGTTCTTTAAAATTTGTTGACATTTCCTTTGCACTGTAATGTATGGTATTTGTAAA